CCTTGCCTTCCCAAAAGTTGTTTTCATCTGGGCTAAAGTGGACTACAGCTTCGACCTGGCATAGGTCTTATCAACATCCCCAGCGGAAGTCGAACCGTGAAAATGCAGGAAATTCTACTACCAGTTCTTAATCATCTTAAACTAAATACGATGTAAACATCTCATAAACATTGTAAAGCTACATTCTTTAATTCGAAATAGGACTAGACTTAGGCAAATCTTTTCCGAGGCACTTAGTTCGGAAGATTTATTTAAGGTACAATCTATAGCGGATAGGTGAATTAGCATAGTTTTCTACAGGTTAGAAAGACACATGATAATAAATTAAGAATCCGTCCAAAACTTCATTGAACATTTCATTGAAAAGGCCCTAGCAAAGGGCTTAAACTTTGCCTCTTGGGAAGGACTTCCAAGAGGAACTTTTGGTAGAATTGATAAGTTTAACGGATAGTTTCCCAGGGGGCACTAAGAGTCACATTGAACTACAAGTTGTCCCTTTAATTGATGGTCATGTAAAAACACCCTTTAAGAATGGGACAGTTGAGACTATTATAAAGAAGCTCAAGGAGAACGAGCAACTAGTATTAAATGCAGACAAGGGAGGAGCAGTAGTAATTATGAATAGAACTGATTATGTAGAGAAAATGCTAATGGCATTAGACGATGATACAACATACAAGACTATGATTAAGGACCTGACAGAAGGCCTTAAGGTCAGACGTTAGGGTCTTCTGCAACATTGTTTAAAGAGGGGAGAACTGGAAATGTGAAAATGAACGTACTCTTTCCGTGAGATGCTAGACCCCCAAATGCGTATGGTCTGCTCAAAATCCATTAGCAAGGTACTTCACTTAGGATTGTTGTAAATAAAAGAGGTAGCGTGATGCATGAAACATCACGATTTCCATGTACTGAGCTAAAGCAAATCTCCGAAAGTTGGCGGTTTTCAGTAAAGAACTCCTGAGACTTTATGATGATCAGACAATAGAAAGAGGATCTTTGTTGGTTAGCTTTGAATTAGTGTCTATGTACACTAACATTTCGATAAATGAGGCTATGAAGGCGCTAGAAGTAACGTAAGATCAACGACCTGAAATGATAACAGGTAAAAAGTTAAGCAAAGATTCAATCATAAGCTCTGTCAATTCGACAATGTACAATACATATTTTACCTTCAATGGTAAGTTGTATGAGCAGACATGGGGTTTGGCTACGGGATCTTGTTTAGCCTCTAGTTTAGTTAATAGCAACATGACCCTATCAGAATTTCGTGTGTTTCATGAGACACTCCTTGTGCCCAAGTTATTAGTCCGTTATATGGACGATTACTTTGCTGTTTGGCAACACGAAAAAGATGGTTTATGGGAATCCCTTGAACAAATACAAAAAATAGATTCAAATACTAAGTTTACGATGGAGTTGGAAAAGGAAAATAAATTGTCTTTTCTAAATGTATTTGTGAGTAAAGAAGTAAGTAAGTTAGGTAGAGACATATATAGGTAACCCACACACGCGAATTTCCTTATTAATTTCTTCCCCAACCATACATGTAGAGTCAAAGTAGGAGCTATGGAGTCTATGATAATAAGGAGTCTGCGTCTAGCAGATGTAAACCACAGGACAAAGAGATCATTAGATAGTGACAAGTACTGTTTCTAAGCGATTACCTATTAGGATTATCAGACAATCACATTTCAATTGTTAATAACAATATGAGGGGATATGAAGACCAAGATGTTGTGGCCTCTGGTATGGTCGTAGTCTTCTTTCGATTTATAAAAGTGGGTTGACCTCGTTTTCGCAACTTGGTCTTGTTGTCACGGCGACTATGTAGAACGCACCTACTCCGAAGTCGTCTGCCATAGTCGTTGTCATGATTCCCAGCATCAGACAGTGGACTTGGTACATTCTCAAACCTTTCGCCGGCATCGTAGTCTGCATCATCAGTGAGTTTTGCCATTCTCCGCACAAAGCTACGAACTCGTCAAAGAGACAAGTGAAGTCAATCCCTCTACAAGCGTTCTGCCGAAAAATGGTTACACTATCACTCCTCTTTCTGTCATTGTCTGTGTTTCTACACTTTACAATCACGCACACATTTTGACGATTGGAATGTAAACAAGTGAGAAGTTGTGATAGAGAGGCAGTGGGATAAGAGGGTAAATAGTAGATAGACAGACAGTGACAGAAAGAGGACTGATAGTGTAACCGTTTTCGGCAGAACGTTTGTCGGGGGATTGGCTTCACTTTTCTATTTTGACGAGTTCGTAGCTTGGTGCGGCGAATGGCAAAACTCACTGACGATGCCGACAACGATGCCGGCGAAACGTTTGAGAATGTATCAAGTGCACTGTAAGATGCTGGGAATCATGAAAACTACTATGGCAGATGACTTCGAACTTGGTGCGTTCTACATAGTCGCCATGACAACAAGACCAAGTTGCGACAACGAGGTCAACCCACTTCAATATGAGGGGAGTTTACTATGTGTGGCGGGATAAACAATTGGATCATACTACTCTTTTCTTGATTTTGCCATCCTGTCAACTTGCGAAAAGTTTGGGTGATCTAATGAGGAAGAGGAACGTCAGAAAAATATAGAAAGAGAAATTAACACTTTCTTCAATAGTTACTTCGTTTTAAGAATGTTCATACCCTCTTTCTAGATCGTGCTGCTACAGTACTTTGTGCTAATGTGGTAAGGTCTATGTGGGGGAGTCCTGCCGACAAATCCAGAAGGGAATATGCGAAGATAAAATCGCATATGAAGGTATATGGGTCCACAAATCCGAGTGCGCTAAGCACATGGTCAATAGAAGATACTCGATAAACTGGTATAAATCACGTTTTGCTGGTTACAGGTAAATCACGTCCAAGCGTGAGATTGAGGAATCTATAGAAACAAACGGAGCAGCCGATTTCTTGAATTAGAGGAACGAGTGTAGAAAATGGGATATGGACTATTCGTGGTTGTTGGATAGGCTTATGGAAAGGGAGGGAACAGGAAGAGCCAATAAACAAGCGAATGAGGCTGGATTAGCCTCGAGTCTAGCTCGGACCATCACACTTCCCATCTCATGGACATTACATACACACAAAAGACAATAGCACATACGCGACCATGCGTCAACATTGTCTATGAAAACAGCTACCACTGAACGTACTTTCGGTTGGCGAAGTAACTTCACTCGTCCGCAAGCGGGTAGAGCAAGTTGGAGACAGCCAAGCAAATCATGCGATGCCTCTTTAAGGTGGCAAGCAAAAGTTGCGACGGCACAGGCTGCAGCCGGTTTAGTATATTTTTGATCTATTTCGTAAAATAGGCGAACTTGCTCTGATGATGTCTGTCGCGGTGGTACAGACGAAATCTTAGTACAGTTTCTTCATGGTCGCCAATTACTTCTTGGCACAATTGAACAGTCTTCCCTACGCGGTAATCCTCCTTCAGTTTCCGGTGAGACCAGATCACGAATTCCTTCCTACCAACTTTTCCTTCGAAATTGCTTTATCTGATACCGAAGGACGACTTGTGATCTCACAAAGTGAGGTATAAGAAATAAGTTGAATTTCAGCCTTCCACATTTCTTGGTTTAGTGTGTTTTGATGATCATTCGTAAATAATGGGTTCTAGCTCTGATCATGTCCGTCACATGATGGACGAAAAATATGTACGGTGTCATTAAGGTCGGAGAAACGAGATGCGAGATCTTCTTCGCACAATTCAACAATCCGGTGCTGCCCATCTACAAATCCCTTCTACCCACATTTTCAAACAAAATGAAAGGTACATCAGCTTTACGCCATATCGGCTATATCCTTAAATGAAGCAACTATTCTTACTCTTCCCTCCGGCGAGAGTAAAAACGTATACCTCTTGTGCATTTTTCGGGGCTGAGGTTCAAACCTTGACAATGAACCATTTTTTAGGTTGAAGTATGCATACATGCAATAAATGTCATCTTACTATTCATTTGATTGCAAGCATTTTGTCTAATGGCCTTACTGGAAACCGTTTGACTGCTGGACTGTGCGAAGGAGTCCTTCAATTTCGATCCATCTCAGCTGAGCTATCATCAATTCCTTGTTGGTACCAAATTTTAAGGTTTGAATGTGGCCTCCTCTTAGTTAATTGGTTAAACTACGCCTCTTCCCAAAGACTTGCCGATGAGTGAAATCGAAGCCTAAAGAATATGTGAATATGGTCACGGCTGTCCGGCTGCATAAATAAAGTAGAGTTTGATCTTACAGTTCTGACGCATGTTTAGCAATGCGTGTGCATGTGTATTATGTGTATAAATGAAGCATAAGTCGTGTGAGGTGAGGACTCTAACCAGATTTGAGGCTAATCAAGAATCCTCTTCCTGCTCACTCTCTCTCTCTCTCTCTCTCTATTCCTAAGCCTATCTAACAGGTACAAATAGTCGTTTCTCAATTCCCTTCACTCTTTCTATCTCGCGTGTTTGCGGCTATTTTTGCTATTTCTATAGTCTTCCCGATCTTAGGCCTTATTAAACCTATTAGGATTGAGTAGGTTTCAAAACTACCAGTAGATCTGAAATATGGTTCAAATTGGATGACAATTTCTTATGGGAAGTAAGACTAAGTGAACCTCAGTGACATCACCAGGCCAAATCATACCTTTGTGATAAAATGCAATTATCATATTTGCATCACCTTATGCGACTTAGGCTGAACTCAAACTTCATTGAGCTCCAGCCCATATTAATGATGCCACGAGTCCTTCCAGTTCAGATTTATGACAGGCTGTTTTTTGGTTACATAAAAACTGCCACTTAAAACTAAACTTAATAATTGCATGCAGTCGCTTCGATAGCCCAAGGGATTCCAGATATATGTGGGCACAACGATATAAACACGAAATATGGTATCATACTGAATGGAAAGAATGTCAAAACGTTTCAAAAATAGTGTATAACTAAGCAAAGTGTATTGTTTTGTAATGTCACACTTCCGGAATTATTCATCTACACTTTTTGAAATATGACAAAACGGCAAAATCTGGGACCGAAAAGGTGGTCTATCTGTTTTTACCGCCATAACTAGCTATGTCTCCACAATTCAGTTAATTGAACTCAAGCATACTTTAGTCGAAGATATGAAGGCCAGGATGGTGTGGCATTTTGTATGGTCGTGGTCTCCTTTCGTTGTAAAGAAGTTGTTTGATCTTGTTTTTGCAACTTGTTCATATTGTTAGGAAGACCGGGAAAAAAGCATCTAGTCCGGAGTCCATTGTATGCATGATCATTTCCAAATTCTGACCGTGGAAGTGGTACATTCCCGGACGTTTGGCCGGCATCGTCAGTGAGTCTTGCCATTCTTAGCACCATACAACAACTCGTCAAATAGACAAGTGAAGCCGATCCTTTGACCAAATGTGTGCTAAATAGTTGTGGACAGATGGATAAATACCACAACTATTTAGCACACATTTGGTCAAATTATTGGCTTCACTTTTCTCTTTGACGAGTTGATGTATGGTGCTAAGAATGGCAAGACGCACTGACGATGTCGGCTAAACGTCTGGGAATGTACCACGTCCACAGTCCGACTTTAGAAAGGAGCATGCATACTATGGACTCCGGGAAAGGTGCTTTCCTCAAAAATAATTCTTTATCAATCCTAGTTTACAATCAAATTGAGCTAAAATGAACCGCATACTTCCCATTTCCTGATCTCAGTGATCCACTTCAGCTGATTTCTTAATAACACGAGCCATACCTTGACCATATATGAATAATTCGATAAAGTGAGAAGTAAACTCCCATTTGTGGTTTTCACAATCACATGTCTACCCGTCTCTGTTACTCCATATAATCGCTTCATTAACTCAAGAAATTCTTCAAGTTCGTGTGATTTGACTTTTCATATCAAATAAAGAGTTGGTTGGAAGTAAATCATTGATTGATAAGGCCTAACTAGACTAAACAAAGGGAAAAGTTAGTTTTATCACTCCGACAGACGAAAGCTCAGCACGGGTTCGTCGGTATGGCGGAACGAATAGCCGGGAAATCTTCGCGCAATCCATCACTCTTCGATTTTCGGTGGTACCAATTCACAACTTTCTTCTAACTTTTCCTTTGAGTTACACTAAAAATCACATAAGGATTCTTCAAAACCCATCAACTTGTCCCGGTTGCCAAATGGCAAATTTGTCCTCGGTAAACATTAAAAACAAATAATTAAGAGAAAGAGTAATTTTGATCTAAATGATCCTTTTGTGAGATTCAAAAAATTAGGCTTATCTGGACGTCTCTCAGGGCAGCCCATCCACAACACTCATGCACACGCACACATTCAGAATCATAAACACAGACCCGCAATTTATTTGGCAACATATGCAAGGAGGTAAGTAATCAGCCGGATACGATCCATCCGCCCAGCGGGATAGATCTCTCCCGTAAGGCTTTTCCTTGAACCACGAAAGTTCAATGATACTTTCCTCATGGTCTAGTGCATAAATGAACGAAATGCCACCAGAACGGTATATCCACACACACACACACACACACACACACACACCTATACACGCTCAAGTATCCACATCTAGACTTCCATGTGAGAAGTGAATGCAGCGTCACAGACAAGCAACAGCCTAATTAAAAGCGATCTTTTTATGTATCTATTGGCGACAATGTACACTTACTGGGCACAGCCCACGGAGGATGAATATCGAAATTCCGGTGAAACGTCAGGGAATATACTAAGTCCACGGTCAGAGGAAAAAAGGTTTCATGCCTTCAGTGGCGGTCGGTAAAGGCACCTCTTTCGAGTTGTGAAAACAAGTGATGCAGTACAAATCCAGAGCTGCCTTACACTCAATTTCTCGAAGTGAATGTTAGGCATGGTTGAGCTGCGAGATGCTGGATTTCTTCTCCTGCACGCCTTAATGTGACTGCGCACGTACAATTTTATGATCGAAGCCACAGTCTAAGCCGAGATGGTTACCTGCTTCCAAAAGTTGGTTCATCCTCGTCTCCACCCAACCGCCTCGACCAGTTACTCCCGATGCCCCATACTCAGTCTGTGAGTCTCTTTTGGCCTTTGCCCCATTCACTCTTTGGCCATCTCAACAGTTTCCACCCCCTCGTTTGTACTCTCATCGGTATGGTCTGAACGAGATTGTCGAGCCCGTGCCTGACAGATGAGCCTATCATTGGTACCAAAATTTATCACCTTACAAAAGGCTGCCTGTGTGTCTGTATTTGTGATTACGATAGGCAGCGTTAGTTATTTTCGGTGTGTGTATGGTTACTATTAAATAATATGTATAGATGAAAAAACGTGGGTTTCGAGGATTCCCTTAGTAAATTAGTGTGACCCAAATTTAATTTTCTCTTGGTTTGGTATATTGAGTTGTTATTTTCTAAAGTATGAGGACGTCTGTCACATGAAAGACGAAAGCTTAGCACAGGTTTGTCTAAGTCGCAGGACGGTGAGCCCAAGACTTGTCTGCAATATCCGGAAGTTTTCACTCCACTCCACCTCCATTATGACATTCGCGAATTTTTTTCAACCAGATTTTGCTTCGAAAGGGAATGTTGAGTCATGTTATTAAAAATTAAGCGGAAGATTTCGAATTATACTCATATGCAATTTAAGTAATCTCATCAACACTCTTCAGATAAATGTAATTTCAGCAAAACCTGCCTTGCCGTAAGCAAGTTAAGATGACACAATACACATTCAAGAAGGTCGAACCGTATTATTGACTAATAACGAGACATTTACGAAACGTACTCATATGGAATTTAATTAATCTCATCCACACTCTTGAGATAAATGTAATTTACGCGAAACCTAATTTGCCATAGTCGACTTAAGACGAAACTAAACTTGCTTAGTAATTGCTGACCTCTTCGAAACTCTCTCATACTGCATTTAAGTGACGCACTCATACAGTTAGTCTGGTCGCAGGCGGCTTTGTTTGGCATTTTTGCCATTTTACTCTCAGCCCAACGAGTCTGAAACCGGGCTGAAACGGCGTTGGTGCGACAACGTGTGTGTTGATGCAGCCGGAAGCAAGTGTCAAGGTGGTACAACAAAGTGGTAAGACGAACCTCCCAATTGTGTTCCCACTCGGTCGTAATTGCAGGCAGTAGCGACATTCACGTTCCGACTGGTAGCATGATTTTCGCCCATATTTGGGCCCTTCTATGCTCCCAGTTTCTAGGGCAATTAACACTTGGTCACTGACTGCTCTAAATACGACCGTCAGAGAGAGCGCCCACACTTTGGCAGATGACCAAACTGACAAAATCAGGCGGGCCACCGGTCAAACGACGGCACCTGCGCGACCGGTACCACGATCAACAGTTCCGGACAGTTTCGGTAGCGTCTTAACTCACTCGATTCCTCGTCTCCGGACCAGAAGGTTCGATACGGCTGCAATCTGAAGTGGCTATTTCAAAGTCGTGATGAGCCTTGTCATTCGCAGTTCGATCGGCGATCTTGGCTTCCACATCAATACTAGTACTGGAATGGAGTCTTCATGTTCATGGTGATGATTCCGTTGTTCCTCTATCGTTTGTCTTTATCTTTCACCAAGTATACCCTCAACCTCAAGTAAGTCGAGGAGAGACATCGGTAACCTAAAGTGCCCAGTTTCGCATTGGGATTCTTGTTGAGTCATATATTTATTTTTTTATTTTTATTTTTATTCTGTGTGTATGGTTATTATTAATAAAATGTATAGATGAAAAAAGGTGGGCTTCGAAGATGTATATATATATTTTTTATTTATTTTCTTTTTCTGTGTGT